CAGGCGGCAGCCGAACACGCGTGTCTCCACGGCCGGGTCGGTGCCGGTCTCCGCGCTCGAGGGCTGCCTCCAGAAACGGCGCCAAGGGCTGCGGGGGAAGGATGAAACCGCTCCGGAGAGGCTTTGAAAGCTCAGGGACTGTTGGGGTTTTGGTTTTTTGGTTGTTTTTTTTTTTCCCCCCAATTCATTATGGAAACCTGAAGTACTTGAAAGAGCCAAAACGGCGCCAAGGGCTGCGGGGGAAGGATGAAACCGCTCCGGAGAGGCTTTGAAAGCTCAGGGACTGTTGGGGTTTTGGTTTTTTGGTTGTTTTTTTTTTTCCCCCCAATTCATTATGGAAACCTGAAGTACTTGAAAGAGCCAAGAGGACGCACCTCTTCAGAGGTGCGAGGGAGAGAGAAGGAGCGAAGCACATGAGAAAGCCGACACTTCATCCCTGCCTTTAATAATGAATCGAACCGAGCAGAGAGCAGGAGTTTCAAGGTCTCTGCATCCAGCCCAGAGTTCCCCTGACCTCCTCCTCTCACGCTCTCTACTCAAAACACGAGCGTTTACCTCCCCACCAACCCCGGGGAGGGACCTGGCTCAGCAGTCCAGAACCGGGAACGCACTTCGAAACTTCCACGGTACTTAGCAGGAACAAAGCCTTCACAAACGTGCCACTGTGTCATGTCACTCTTTTGCCCTCTTGCTTCAGAGTCCGGCGGCTGAATTGGCCGCCCTGCACTTTGCCCTGGGCTTGTTCGTCGTTCCTCCGTGTGGGAGGAACTCGAACGCACCCCGTGTGCCTTGTCAGCACGGAGGTCGCGAGCAGGCTCGTCACTGAGGAGGAAAGGCTCGTTAGGCCGTGCTCCTTCAGCCTACGGCAAAGGGAGCACACCTGAGAGCAAGGGGGGTTCAGTCTCCAGGGCTCAGCAACAAGACGTGGCTTTGTGGCCCGAGAAACCACCCACCAGCCCTACTTGTACAGGGAGATGTACAAAAAGCAGCATGACACCCTGTAAAAAAGAAAAAAAAGGGGTGTGTGTGTGAAAACCGGGTAATCTGGGGTGACTTGAAGCAATAACCTTCAGATCTTCCCAAACGCCGAACCCTCTACAAGCATCGCTTCAGCCTCCCAGCTCTTGCAACAGCCGCTCGGGGCAAACAAGCCCCAACCCCTTTGCCTCTCCCCGGCCGGCTGATTTCACGGTGCCCCCCCCCCCGTGCCACGCTGACC